GGCATCGGATCTGAACATCTGGCAGAAGGCTGATAAGGGGTGCAGCGGAAACAGTCTCTGCTGCTGCCAACAGGCCCGCCCCCTCCACTACCCTGAACAGGGTCTCCATGTCCACATTCCCTCTGGGCCCCTGCCCCTCTCTTCTCATTCTCTGCCGGAGTCTCCATCTCTGTCTTGTTTCCCTCTCATCTTTGTTTTTCTCCTACATTTCTCTTCTCTCTGTCCCTCTGAATTTCTTCTTTCTCATCCCCAGTCCCTGACCTCCAGGGTCTGTTTTATTTTTCTTAATTTGTTTTAGTCATAGATGGACATAATACCTTTATTTTATTTTATTGTTAAGATTTTTTAAGATGGACACAATATATTTATTTTATTTCATTTTTATATGGTGCTGAGGATCAAACCTAGTGCCTCACACCTGCTAGGCAAGTGCTCTGCCACTGAGCCACCACCCCAGCCCATGAGGGTCTTTTTTGTTATCAGGGGTCTTCCTTTTCTCCCTCGCTCATCTCATATTTTGCCTGTCTCGCCACAGCTTCTCTCTCTTTCTGGTTCTTTCTTCACTGTATTCCAATTGCCACCCGATGAATCTACCCTGCTCCCCTCTGTTTCAGTTTCTGGGACTCTGATTTATTTGTTCTTTAGTCCACCTCCAGGAAATGAGCCTGGCACTTTGGGAAATCCCCACTCAGGAGAGAGACCCTGGGCTTTGTTTGCCTGGGGAGGGGGAAGTAGGGAAGAGCCTAAGTCAGGACTACACCCCTGCTCCCTCCCCTCCGGTAGGTCTCATGGCCTGGGACCACCTGGTTGGAGTTTGAAGGAAAAGGCAAATAGACAGGCCACCCAAGGCTCCAGAGTGAAGAGGAGCCTGAGCCTAGAAGCTAGGCAGGCTCTGGACCCCCACTGCCTGGATTTGAATGCCGAGCCCATCACTTCTTGCTTTGAAACTTTGGAAATATGCCTGTATCTCTGCTAGGTCGTCTCGCGGGGCTCATGGTGGTGAGCAGAAAATATTGCTCACCTTTCAGGATGGTGGAGAGGGTTTCAGTCATTCCAAGGGCACCTAGCACATAGGGGGTGCTTTTGAGTTCCGGCTGTCAACCCGTCGGCCCCCCTACCTGTCCCCATGGAGCACCCAGTATGAGTGAGGACCAGTATAGGTGGGAGATGGGTAGCCCACAGGAAGTAAAGATGTCAGTAAAGATATCCAGGGTTGATTAGGGGATGAGGAGCATCCAGCCTGCATGGTGGCAGGTGACAAGTGACAGCTATTGTCTACAGAGGAGACAGCATGGAGGTCATAGAGCCCTATACCTACATCAAGCATGCAGGCCTTTGGTGAGGGCAGCAGTCATTCAACAAGAGCTAGCCCATGCTGCCCTGGGCTGGCTGCTCCAGACCCAGAGGTAGATCAGGCCCTTCCTTGAGGGATCCCCCTGCCGAGTGAGTCAACCCATCAGAAGGGCAAGCAATGTTTGTGGGGATGTTGCATTGGCAGACTCAACACAGAAAAGGCCTCTAAGGGCAGAGAAGCCAGGCCTTCAGCTAGTTGTTTGTTTGTGTTTTTCTGGAATTTACTGAGCACACATGACAGAGCAGGCAGCCACTGAGTATGTTACACATGCTGTCTCATTTTGTCCCCATTGTGCAAGGAACACATGAGGCACAGAAAGGAGATGACTGGTCCCAGGTTACACAGCCAGAAAGAGACAGAACTGGGATTTAATCCAGAGTTTGCTACCAATTCCCCTTCTTGGAGCTCAAGGACTCACCACGACACGACACGATGGCAAAGCAAGGCTGGTTCTTTCCATATTATCCCAGCATTAAAAGACCCCATTTGTCCTGTTCAAGAAGGCAGGGCTGGGAACAGTAGTGCACACCTGTGATCACAACAGTTCTGGAGGCTGAGGCAGGAGGATTGCAGGTTCAAAGCCAGTATCAGCAATTTAGTGAGGATATAAACAACCTAGTGAGACCCTGTCTCAAAATTTAAAAAAAAAAAAAAAAAAAGATAAAAAGGGCTGGGGATGTGGCTCCCTGATAAAGTGCCCCTGGGTTCAATCCCTGGTACTAAAAAAAAGGAGGAGGAGGAGGAGGAGGAGGGGGAGGGAGCCCCTGAGATTACACGCGCATAATCCCCAATTGGGAGGTGGAGGCAGAAAAATCACTAAGCAACTCAGTGAGATCCTGTCTCTAAATAAAATGCAAAATAGGGCTGGGGATGTGGCTTGGTGGTTGAGTGGCCCTAAATTCAATCCCTAGTACCCAAAAAACAAAACAAAAAAACAAAATCATTGCATTGAAATAGGAAAAAAATTTAAAATAAAATTAGGAATAAAATGAAATGAAATAAAGTAAAATGGAGGATTAGTTTTAGGTTCCAGACATAGGCAAGGGAAGTATCTCCTGTAAGAACATTTATGGTAAAAAAGACATGTGGTCATGCATGTTAAGGAATCAGTTATGATGTAGGTAGAATTAGAATATATATACTCAGAATAAGTTATGACTGTCATTAAAATTATGTGTTCACAAATTTTTTTTTAATGACAGGCATAATAAGGAAAAGACACACTCAGTTTTAAATATAGTTGGCTCCAGAAAAATCCCCCTCATCCCAAGCCAGGTAAGAGAGGTACCTGGCATGATTTGCCCATTTCTTCAAATGAAGATGGAAGGGGCATGGAGGGAGTTCCCAGCCGTGATTGCCCTGAGGTGCCCTGCGCCCCTCCCCACCCACCGGAACAGTGGCTGGAAGGTAAATCCTCTGAGGATAGAGGCTTCGTCCGTGTTCTTAACTGTGACCTGTGCCTGCAAAAATGCCTGGCCCCTGGAGCATGCCGTCATCCTGAGATGAAGGAGGAATGCACAGAAGAACGTGTCATATCTGGGACAGGTGCAGGGCCCAGCAATCTGGGCCTGACAGGACCAGGACAGTGCAGGACCTGCCTGGGCCAAGAGACTGCCAGGAAGGCCTGGCCTTCCCCCTACTCTGCCCTGTTCTAGCCTAGTTATCAAACCAGACCATCCCAGGGTCACTGGAGCCAATTACTTGCCCCAAAAAGCAGTCTCAGCCCCACCTCAGTCTCCCCAGCTTTTGATGGGGAATACCTGTGGCTCACAGTAGATGAGAACATTTAGGGGTGACATCAAACTGAAAGGTGTTCAGTCAGCTCCTCTGCTTGCCTTCCAGCCCCGTCTTCCTTCCTCCATATTCTAGAAGAGTAAAGACCAGACCGGAGCTGCTGCCCACCTGGTCTATCTTGTCTATCTACCTGGTCAAGTCGTCCATGCCCCTACCTGACACTGGCCCATGCTGACTCTGCTCCCATGTCTGGACCAAGCTGGACCGCTCCAGGCCAGGACCCAGAGAGGAAGCCATTCTAGGGGAGAGAGGCCAGGCTGCAGGCAGGGTGGGGAAGGAGCTCATAAATCAGATCCCACTCCCACCCAGTCACTAACAAGCGGGCTGCCTACCCGCTTACGTGGGGTCCCTGCCTCTGGGCTCCCACAGCGGCCTGGAACGGCCAGCTGGCCAAGGCCTCTAGAGTACCTTGGCCTCCACCCCCACCCGCGGCCCCCAGATAGATAGGGGTATTTTTTTTTCTTTTAGGAGAAGAGAAAAAAATAGACCTAAATGAAGAGAAACACCAACAAAGGAGGAGAAAGGAGGCCTGCAGAGTCACGTGGGGGCAGAGACCAATTGGGCCTCTGGTGGCCCCCCCCAGGGCGGGGAGGAGGAGGAGGACGAACGGACAGGGCCAGCTTGCCGACCGCCCGCTGCCCGCAGTGGTGTGAAGGAGTTCCTGCGTGCCCACCGTCACCACTGCCTCACCTGGGCTTCCAGAGCCTCCCCCGACCCTGGTGCCCACTGTCCACCCTCATCCGGCTTCAGAACTCTTCTTCCGCTCCGTAAGTGAGGGCCTGGGCCCAGGCCTCTAATGGCCAGCCTCCCTCCTCAGTGCCTCCCTGTGGCCCAGGCCGGCCACAACTTGCTCTGTGGAGTGACCAGTGCTCGCTTCTCTGGGTGGGGAAGGGGCTAGAGGTCTCTCTAGACTCCCCTCCTCAGTAAGATACCCTCTCTTCTTCCCTGGGCCGCTGATGGGAGGAGCCAGGCCTATGGCGACAAGCGCTGTGGGGTCTGTGGGTGTCCCGCTATCTAGTGTTGACCGGGTGTTCACATCGGTGTGTTGGTGGGAGCCTAGCAGTCTGAGAGTCTTGTGAGGTCTCTGGGCCTGTCTTGGGTCTCTGGGTCTCCTGTCTGGGCATCTGTGTGGTCTCTATGGAGGTCTCTGAGCCTCTGTATATGTGTGAGTCTGTCTCCAGTGTTTATTTGTCAGTCCAGGTTCTGTGGCTGGCACAGGGTCTGCTTTGCTTCCCTGGGTAGGTGGGTAACAGGCTGTGAGTTCCTACATGGGGCAGGGGCAGGGTGGGTGCAGTGAGCCACCGGCTCCCAGCCTGAGGTAGTAGAGCCCAGGGGGAGGGGGGCTGAGATGGAGGCCAAAGGGGAGGGCTGGCTCAGAGCCCAGCCTCCCACCCCACCGGCCCCCAGCCCAGACTGCACTATGCTGCTGGGCCTTCCTCAACAGCCCAGGTGGGCTCTACCGGAGAGAAGCCCACTACCCCTGAGGAGCCCATCCCCCACTCCCCTCCACTCCCTGCAGCCTGGTGGGTGCTGCCGAGTTCCACTGCCAGAGGGCAGAGGGCTCCTCTCTGAGTGGAGGTTGTTCAGAGGCAGAAAAGCCCCCCCAACCCCCACCTCCGGCCTCCAGGCCCGACACAGACTGCAGTTTCTCAGGGGCTCAGGGTGGGGATCTACCACTAACTCCTCTCTGGCTCTCTCTCCTCCCTCCGCACCAAGATATGTCCATGGAATCTAATGGAAACTGCAGCACTCCATCTGGAGGGCCGGGCTTTCCTTATTACATACGGAGAAACTGAGGCTCAGATGAATGAAATGACTTGCTGGCAAGCCGACCGCAGACTCTGCTCCTCACTCTGCGGGGTGAGCCAGGCGATGGGTGGTCTGCGTGGGTTTCAGGCCTAGGCTCTCAGGACCATGGCGCCAGCTCCTGCAGGAACCTGAGGCCTCCGTAGTGGCCCTGAAACTTTTTGGTCGGTAGCATCTCTGCCAATGCAAATTGCGGTATTCCTCGCTTGAAGCTGCAGCTTTCTGGCCTCAGGGTCCCCAGCCTCAGACTTCTCCCAGGTGCCAGAGGGGCCAGGGGCAGGCTTCCTGCAGGCCTCTTTCTCCCTCCTGCTTCAGTTTCTTCACCAGATAACCGGAGTGGCCCCGTGGACGTTCCCCAACCGTGAGCAATTGCTCTGCCCATCCCGGCCAGGGCTCCCTTTGTCCCCCAGGCTTCTACGAGCTCTCTTCCTCCGCCCTCTGCCTGGGCTAGAGCTCCGAGGGGTGTGGGGGTGCCTGTCGCCCACCTCCAGCTCCGCTCTCCCAGCCCCCGCGCCCTTGGAGGCTCTGAGTGCTCACCAGACCTTGGAATCTCGCAGAGGTGCATTCCCAAGATTCCCATTTCCTGCCGGCAAACTGAGGTTCACAGAGAAGGGGATTGCCCCAGGTCTCCCGCTGGGCGTTGTAGAGACACACCGCCATGCCGGGCTTGTGCTTCGCCAGCTGCATTTCGGTTCATCCTTACAACCACCCTCCAGGAAGACCCGTGGTCATCCCACTTCACAGATGAGGAAACTGAGGACTGAAGAAGGTTACTTACCGCCCAAGTGAGGAAATGTGGCAGGGCAAACACCAGAAGGTTCTAGCCTTGAACTAATGCCTTGGCCACAGGCCCACACGCTCGCCCTTACCCACTTCCAAGCTGCAGAACCACCAGCGAACCCAGCTTGGCCCTGGCCACGACTAAGCTGGACTTGCAAACAGCAGCTCGCCTCCTCCCACCGCCGGAGGCACCTCAGCGCTCGACACCTGTCTGGATTCTGGGGCGCTGGGGCTCCGCCGTTCTCTTGTAGCTCGGGAGCTTCTGGGGGGCCTGGCTGGGGATGGGGGGCCCGAGAGGATGAGGGTGAAGCCGCGAGCAAGCTGGGGGGAGGGCAGGGCGCAGGCCGGGCTGGGGGGAGGACGCGCGCCGGGCCTCCGCCCCCGGATACCGCACGCGCCCATATAGAGCGCCCGGCCCCTGGCCCAGCGCGGCGGGTTCGCGCAGCGCGCAGTGGCGGCAGAGGGGCCCGGGTCCCAGGTGCGCCTCGAGCGGCCCCGGAGGCGGCGGGGGCGGGGAGGCGGTGGGGGGAGCGCCGAGGCCCAGCGCAGCCAGCCCCGCGCCCCCGCCTCCCCGCCCCCGGCCCCAGCGGCCGTCATCGCGGGCGGGCGGCGCTGCGCCCGGGTGCGGCTCATCGCCGGCGGCGGCGCGGCCGGGAGGTGCGGGTCTCCGCACGGGCTGGACGCGGAGCGCTGCTCGCAGGAGCCGCGAGGTGGGCGCCGGCCGCCGTCGCGCTCCCTCTTTGGGACTCTGACTCTCCGCCCGAGGTCGCCCCCATCTCCGGCCCGGCCTCCCGGAGCCTACGGGACCTCCGCCCGAGGTCTCCGCGCCCGGCGCCGGCGGTCTCCGCCGCGCCCTCTTCGCCGTCTCTCCGTCCGACGACTCGGTCTCGGCCGCGCAAGCCGCGCCTCTGGTTGCCGTCGCTGCCACGGGCTTTGTCTCCCCTGGCCCGCAGTCCCGGGCAGCTCAGCGCTTTCGGGCTCTCCGTCCCTGGCGCCCTGGTTTTCCGCACCTCTGGACGCGGGCCCCTGGCGGTCCGACTCTGCGGGGCCACGCCTCGGAGCTCGGCTCCGGGTTCCGGCGCGTCTCCAAGTCCCCGACCCTCTTGCTGGGCGCCTCGGTCTCCCCAGGTTTTCTCTCCGCGTCTCTGTCACTCTCTCTGCCCCGTCTCCCCCGGTGTCTCTCGTCTCTCGGTCTGTCTCTTGTCTATCACTGTCTCTCCGACTGTGCATGTGTTTCTCCCGGGTTGTCTCTGGGCCTCTCTCTCTCTCGGTGTCTGTGATTCGGTCTCTTTCGTTATCCATCCATCCATCCTTCCATCCATCTATCATCTATCTATCTATCTCGTCTCCCTAGGTTTTTTTTTCCTGACTCGGCATCGGTGTGTCCCCGTCGCCCGGGTTCTCTCTACGTGAGCAGCGTCGGTCGGGGTATCGCGCTGGTTCCGGCGGGTCTCTCTGTCTCTCCCAGACTGTCTCTGCCTCCTTCGTCTCTGTCGGGTTCCCAGCACACCTGGGCCGCTCGCCCCACTCTGCCCGGGCTCCCTGGCTCCTGTTTCACCCGCGCCGGAGCCTGTCTCCTTTTCTCAGAATCGGGGTTTTGTTCTCAGACAAACGAATCCGGATCGAAGCGCATCGAATCCGAGGGTCCGGGATCGGGCGCGGCAGCGGCGGCGCGGGAGGAGCCGCGCGGCGGGAGCGCGGGACCCACACTCGGGCTGGGCCCATGCTGCGCGACCACCTGAGCGCTGCAGTGGGTCCTGCCGCCGCCCCCTTCACCTGGACGCGGCCAGGGCTACCGCAGCGGGCGCTGTGGGTGCGGCCGCCGCGGGGTGCGAGATCCGCCTGGCCAGACCAGCCGCAAGCCCCTCGCCGTCGGCCCATGGTGACCCTCTCCTCTCTCCTCAGGCGGACGCCGCGGGCATGGACTATTCGTACGACGAGGACCTGGATGAGCTGTGCCCAGTGTGTGGGGACAAGGTGTCCGGATACCACTACGGGCTGCTCACGTGCGAGAGCTGCAAGGTGAGCGCGTGAGCGGTGAGTCTGCAGGCGGGCGGCAAGGGTGTGTAGGGCGCGGCGGAGGCCGGCGCGCGCTCTGGGCCGAGGGTCCATCGCTCCCACGCTGACTCCCCTCTCTTTCAGGGCTTCTTCAAGCGCACTGTGCAGAACAACAAGCACTACACGTGCACCGAGAGCCAGAGCTGCAAGATCGACAAGACGCAGCGCAAGCGCTGTCCCTTCTGCCGCTTCCAGAAGTGCCTGACGGTGGGGATGCGCCTGGAAGGTGCGCGCCCCGCGGGACTCCGACCCCTGACTTCTGACCGCCCGAGGGAGCAGAGGGTGGGGCTGGGAAAGGTAGCTGAAGAGAGGACATCACTGGCCTTCTCGAAGTTTTAGGGGCCAGGCGATTGGCCCCTAGCCTGACTTAGGGCCTGGTCTCTTCAAGGGAGTGAGGGGACAGGCGGGGGTTGGGCTTAAGTCCTGGGGGAGGGAGTTCAGGCAGAACCAGCCAGGGTTGCCTTAAACTCAACTCCAGGGAGACGCCCTTTCGGCAGCCCAGCCAACACAGACAGAGCCCCAGCAGTGCTTCTCCCCCTGAAGAAGCTCCAGCCCCCACCCCAGCTAGAGTCAACGCTTTCAATGCCCTTGTCAGGTTCGAGTCCCAGTGACACCACTTACAGGCACTGGGTTAAATTCCTTAACTTCTATGATCTACAGATTCCCCAACTTTAAAATAGTAGTGCCTCCCTCCCTCCCTGAGTTAGTGTGAGGTTTGAGAGAAGTTACGGAAAGTCTAAGGTGCCTGGTACACAGTAAACACTCACAGGTTAGCTATTATTACTATTGTTATTTTATTCTTATGCCTTCTCCTTTTATTTATCCACCACCACCCAGGGATCACTGGGTTTTTTCACTCCAGCGGGTGAGATTCCTTCCTATCTTGTTCCTAGCCAGCCCTGAGAGGGCTGAGGAATGGGTAACAATTTCTCCAGAGGACGTAGGACTCTTCTGCCCCCACCTCTACCCCCATTGCAGTCCAGAGAGGAAGAAAGATGTCCCAGAAGGAGAGACCCAAGGGTGGACACTAGTAGCTTCCACCCCATGGCCCCAGCTGGGCTATGAGCCCAGCCAGCAGCTGTTGGCTGAAGTTTCTGAACAAGGAGAAGCCCCCACCCCCAGAGGCTCTGAGAGCTGCAGACCACATGTCCTACAGCTCCTAGCTGGGGGGGGGGGGGGGGGGGGGGGGGAAAACCCCCCCCTGTCCCAAGAGCCTACATCCCTAGCTCCAAGTCCTGAGGGGCCAGAATAGCTGGTTGTTGCTGGCAGCCGAAGCCCACAGGGCAGCCTGCCTGAAAGTATGGCAGGAAGATGTATGTCTGGGAGGTTCCATCCCTGCTGAGCACTGCCCTCTGTCTCCTGATCTCTTCCTTCTCCTAGAGCCTGGGCTGGGGTCCTGTCTAAGCAGGGGCGGGGGCCACACTCCAGCTGCAGAGATGCACCTGTTGAGTCTGGCTGGTGACACATTCTTGGCTAGACAGAGGAACATCTGGTTAGCAAGAGAGGTCCCTGCCTCCATCACAGAGCCAGCAACCCCTAAACCCACCTTCACATTCAAAGTCAGTAGGGGAAACCCAAGTCATCTTGCCAGTGGGGTTCAAAGAGTCTGGGATTTAGTCCGTACTGAGTTTCCAGCTGTGAGGAAGACTCACAGGGTCCCCTTCCTATCACTGTCTCCCTGTCAGGCCCAGCACTGGGCATCTGAACCAAGAGACTAAGAGCTGAGTCCCCAGGACCTCCCAGAGTAGGGCATATGGCATGGTACACTCAGCATGATAAGAGTGGGCCACAGGGCCAAGGACAGGAGAGTCTGCCTGGGCAAATATAGGAACACTTCTTGGAGGTGGTGACATTGAGGCTGGGTGTTTGGCAAGCACAAGAGAAAGAAAAGGCTTTGAGGAAGAAGGACTATTAAAGATGGGGGGCGGGGTGGAGGCTGAGGGAAAAGTGTCAAGCCGAGCAGCAGTGTCTGCTGAGGTGAGTAAGGTGGAGTGGAAGGGACACTTGATCCCCTGAGGGATGACCTGGAAAATTGAGCAGGACCTTGAATGCCAGGCTAAGATGATTGTCTTCCCCTGTGGAAGTCATGAAAGGCTGTTGAGCACGGGAAGGGCACAGTTAGCTCAGGATAGAGCAGCATAGAAGGTGGCATGGAGGGGGGAGCCTGACCCTCTGCCCCTGCCCACAGCCGTGCGCGCTGACCGTATGCGGGGCGGCCGGAACAAGTTTGGGCCCATGTACAAGCGGGACCGGGCCCTGAAGCAGCAGAAGAAGGCACAGATTCGGGCCAATGGCTTCAAGCTGGAGACAGGCCCCCCAATGGGGGTGCCTCCGCCACCCCCTCCCCCACCGGACTACATGCTGACCCCCAGCCTGCACGTGCCTGAGCCTAAGGGCCTGGCCTCTGGTCCACCCACTGGGCCACTGGGCGACTTTGGAGCCTCAGCACTGCCCATGGCCATGCCCAGCACCCATGGGCCACTGGCCGGCTACCTCTACCCTGCCTTCCCTGGCCGTGCCATTAAGTCTGAGTATCCAGAACCCTATGCCAGTCCCCCGCAGCCTGGGCCGCCCTATGGCTACCCAGAGCCCTTCTCTGGAGGGCCCAGTGTGCCCGAGCTCATCCTACAGCTGCTGCAGCTGGAGCCTGATGAGGACCAGGTGCGGGCACGCATCGTAGGCTGCCTGCAGGAACCTGCCAAAGGCCGCCCCGACCAGCCAGCACCCTTCGGCCTCCTGTGCAGGATGGCTGACCAGACCTTCATCTCCATCGTGGACTGGGCTCGCAGGTGTATGGTGTTCAAGGAGCTGGAGGTGAGTGCCTCCTCCGCCGCTGGCCCTGGCTCTGGTGTGGCCTCCAGGCTGCCTGGACCTCTGTCCTGGTGGCCCCCTGAGTGGTCCATCCTGCCCACTGGTTTTAGGCAGTGTTAGGACATGGAGGTTCCCCTGGGGACATTAAGGAGCATTTTTGGTCTACCACATCCTCCTGAGTGTCCCTCACTCCTGCTCACTCCCTCCCCTCCCTGGCCTTGTTTTCTAAGTCTCTGTCTCTCATAGTCTCTGTCTCATCCTAATGTCCCCCTGCACCCCCAGGCCTGTGGTCTCTCTGCTCCTCTGTGTTTTTCCAGCCTCTTCAGTCTGAGGCTGTTTCTCTCCCAGTCTGGGTTTTCTGGAGGCATTTCCTGCTTTCTCTGAGGCCTTGGACTCCCTCAAAAGACTAACTGGGTCTTCTTATGTCCCCCAGGCCAATGCCAGGAGGGGGTCCAGCCCATCCTGTCATCCCATTCAGGGAGGCTACCAATCCCCACCAGTTGCATATGCCATGGATGGGCTCTTAGTGTCTGAGGTTTGGATACCTGTGGGCCCTCCTCCACCTAAGATGAAAGGTCTCATTGCCCCTGTACCTCTTACTTACGATGGTTGGTTCCATGTTTCTGTGTGTCTGTGTGTTTGTTTGCCTACAGAAGGAACTGGGTGGGGGATCCCAGGGCCTGTCAGTGATCTTGCCAGATGAAGCAGCTTTCTTTTACCTCAAGGGCTTCTTTCCCCCAGGTGTTAAGGTACCTAAGCTAAAGTAAACAGAAAGGCAGCAGGAAAACTGAGGCCAGGTATAGGGAAGAACTTCCCAGTCACTTTGCCTAGGGGTGTGAATGGCCTGAGGCTTAGGAGTTGCCCCTCCAATGCCCTGGCTCTCTCTGAGGCTTCCCCAGAGACCCTGAAACCCTGGCCAAGGTCCCTTTCTCCCTGGTCTGGGTACAGCCTTCCCAAGTCAGCCCCCTAGCTGTTCTGAGGTTGGTTATAAACAGCAGAGCCTTTGCCCTCCCTGCTGGGGCCACTGCAGCCTTGAGCAGCATTGTCAGTGCTGACGCCACTCAGGCCTGGGCTTCCTCCAGGAGATGTGGCCGGATAGGCTGGGGGCACTGCCTGCCCTGGCTGGCAAGGAATGGGAATAAGGTGGGGCATGGGGACTCAGAGCCTCTGGAGCATCAGGGCGTTAGGGACCTAGGGGGATCTGGGAGTCAAGAATTTGTGGTGGTGATTCCTGCTTCTACTGTGGAGGGCCTGTCATGGCCAAGGTCTGGGACATGCAGTGGGTCTACCATGGGATGGGCTTTTCACCAGTCCCCTCTACTGGCCCTCTCTGGGCTGACCTTATGCAGGGATACTCCCACCTGCTTTCTGCTCCTGGCTGGAGGCCCTGGGGGATGAGGACCCAGGACTCTGGAGTTGGTTGCTGGCTTCCCCTGCAGACTTCCCATAAGCCCCTGTGCAGAGGGAGGAGCAGCGGAGCATTCCCAGCCTGGATCCAGGGGCAGGGCACTTCCTCTGGCCGCTTTCCTACTCTCCCGGGGCTTCACGCAGGATGGGAAGGGCCTTTGTCCCAGCTTTGCTGAGTGTTTTTTCCTGCTCTGGCTTCTCTATGGCCCAAATCTTCCTGCTTCCCCTTCCCAGAATCTCTGTATTGAGCCCAGGAATATGGCCCACAGTCATCACCTCTGTAAAGGAGCCTTGCAGATAAGCACTAGCCCAGCCCTTGGAGCACGTCTAGTTTGCCACATCAAATTCTTTCCCACTGCTCCAGTGGGCCCTGGGTGGTGTCTGTTTGTGGAACCCAGGGGTGAGTGGGCAGAAAAGCAGAAGAGTGCTGAATGGCCCTAGTATCCCTTTGATTCACCATTCAACACATCTCAGCAGACAGAAGAGGGGCTCTGGAACGGAGCCATCCAGGGATGGCTTTGGGGCATCATGGATGTTGGGGACATTGAAATGAATTGGACCCAGAAAGTTGCCAGGCTAGAGGAAGAGACAGAAGTGCACATAGATAATGCCAATACAGGGTGCCCAGAGTGCCCAGGGCTCTGAGAGTGATGGGAAGGGACTGAGAAGTCTAGTGAGAGAGAAGATGGCTACATCTGAGGAAGTCAGAGGTTTCCAGAAAGAAGTCAGAGAATGCTAAGGATGTTCAAGAAATGGGAATAGCCCAGGGGAAAGTCCATAAAAGTGTGAGGACATCCGGGCATTCCAGGTGACCCCATGAAGTGGGCTGGCAGCATCGGCAGAGCCCGACCCAGGAGTGGGCCCTTGGGCAGCAGATGATGGACAGCCAGGACTGGCTGGGGCCCCACATCCAGGGAGGGGCTCCTACCCAGAGCCAAAACTCCATGCAGATGACCAATCACCTTCTCAGGGGAAAGCCTGGGGTCTTAGCTGAACCATCAGGGATGCTGGGGGCCCAGGTATGTACGATCCCAGGTGCCCTCTAGGACTTTCCCTCCTCTGTCCCCTTTCCCACTTGATTGGCTGTCCCTCTGTCTCTATTTTCCCACCTTGCCCAAGCATAGCATGTTGGAGCTGACAGTGGCACAGAAGTGAAGACCAGAGACCAGGCTCGGGGGGCTTACTACCAAGCTGTGCAGTTCTGCTTCTCTGGGCCTCAGTTTCCTCATTTATAAAGGAGAGGGATGTGGGTAATAGCTACCCGGGAGGGTGGTTATAGGGGTTTAGTGAGCCCGGGTAGGTGAAGACCTCAATACAGGGCCTGGCGCTCAGGAAACCCAGTCGTTGGGCTCCCCAGCGCCCTTCCTTTCTGCTCTCTGCACTGCACCATTGACTGCCCACTTACAGGTGGTCTCCAGGCCTGCAGGAGGAGCAGAGTAAGAGATGCTGAATGCACGCTCCTCTGAGCACTGTCTTTACAGACTTGCTCAGGGCTTGTAAAGCAGCTTCTTACCTACAAGGCAACAGGGACTCACCCTTCCCCGCTGTGCAGTGGGGGCAGGTCCGGAGCCAGGCAGTCAGCCCTGGACAGTTACCGTGAGGGATAGGCTGCGAGGGTGCAAAACAGGAACCGGGGAGAGCCACGATGCCTAATGACCCATCTTGACACCAGTTCACCCTTGACGTCCAGCTCCGAGGCCCCCACTGGCAACAGATTTAATTGCCCAGATATATGGTTTCATTTAAGCTGCAGTAACTCTTGTCAGTCCTCGGCTGACAAACGATGGCCCACCGACCACTCGGCCTGGAGCGCGCCAGGCCAGCCTGGGGCATGTCAGCCACCCGAGAATTACCGAGCCTGCTGGCCTTCGGCTGCCAGACCGATCAGACCCCAGGGGGCTCTAGAGGGAGGCCCGCTGGGGGAGAGGTCAGCCGGCACCCATAAATAGCCCTTCTCCAGAGCAGGCTGCAAGGTGTCAAGGCTCTGGGAAGATTTGTGGCTGCCCAGAGCAGGAGGGGTGGGTGGCTGGTCAGCCCATGGATGGGCTAGGCTGGTAAGGGACTCTGAGGCTGGGACTGCAAATGTCCTTGTCCTGAGGGCGGAAGGGAGGTTAGAGGGTAGGGGAGGAGGGACCTTGAGTTTAGGAAGAAACCTCTGGAAAGGGGACACCAGCCCTCCTTGACTGAGTGAGGCTCTTGGCCACCTGCTTTTTTATGGAGCTTCACTCAAGTTTTTATTTGTTTGTTTTTGGGGTACCAGGGGTTGAACTCAGGGGCACCCGACCACTGGGCCACATCCCCAACCCTATTTTGTATTTTATTTAGAGACAGGATCTCACTGAGTTGCTTAGCACCTCGCTTTTGCTCAGGCTGGCTTTGAACTTGTGATCCCCCTGCCTCAGCCTCCTGAGCTGCCGGGATTACAGACTGTGCACCACCGCACCCGGCTAGTTTTCTTTTAAATACAGAGGTGTGTGTGCCCGTGTGCAGGAGTGCCTATGTGTGCTCATCGTGTGGGGAGCGTTTGGGAGTTGGGTGTCTTTATGTGTCCATTGGTCCATCTGAGTGAAGAAGTGGAAGTCTGGCAGGAAAATGCTTGGCCGAGGGGTAAGTGGGAGCCCAGCTTGAGTGGCATCCTTGGGGGAGTTGACAGTGGGTTCACACAACCCCTTGCGACCCATGCTGTGTTCATAGGTTTTTCTGTAACTGAAGGGGGAAGATTATTTCTCCCATTTCATAAAGTAGTAAGGAGGGTGAGAGAGGACGCATAGTGGGGCAGGGGCATGGAGTGCAGTCAAGGAGGGTGAGAGAGGACGCATAGTGGGGCAGGGGCATGGAGTGCAGGCATCAGAGAGCTGATCTCTGCCGTCTCCCAGCTGGGCCCCTCGGCAGGGCTGCCCCCACCCTGGGGTCTGAGGTCTGGAGTCTGCTCCCGGATCTGAGCCAGCCAGGTCACTGTGACCCCTTTGCTTTCTCCCTGGAGCTTGGCCTGCTTATCTTCTAATTCCCCCCTTATCTCTTCTCTTCCATGCCCCCCCCCTTCATTCAATCTGGGCACAAGGGTGTCTGCTCTTAGGGTCTCACAATGGGTGGGGGCAGAGCACAGCCCTGCATGGCCTCCATCTGGGTCACCCTCAGTGGGCTCAAGAGCTCCTTGCCTGACACCAGTGTGACCCCTGGGCAGACTTCTCCCACCTCGGCCTGAGGCAGAAGTTCCCAGAGCCCCTGAAGATGGACCCAGTAGGGCCGACTGGGCAGAGCCACTGCCCACGCGTCACCTCGGGCAAGCCTGCTTGTTTCTCTGCAACACGGGCAGGATGTCACTGGGGCAGGGCCGATTGAGCCTGATGGTAAGTCCTCCCTCAGCTTTGCTTTCTTCTTGGAAACTGATGGCAAGGCTCCTACCCGGCTCCACAGGCCAACCACTTCCAGAGGAGAGGGAAGGAGAAGTGTCCCCTGCCATCTAATGGCTGGTGGGGCCAATCCCAGGTCACCTAGGGCTCTGCTCTGATGGCGATGAAACTCTGGGAGGAGGGAGAGAGTGGGCGCTTGGCCCAGAGATGAGGTGAGGAAGGGAGGCGGTGGCCCAGAGCAGGACAGACCTGCGCAGACCAGGTCCTTTCTTCTCTTCTCGCACTGGGGAGCGGGGTGCGAGAAGAGACCTCGTTTGTGTGTCCAGTTCCTCACTTTCCTCTTGTTCTACCTTCTCCTTTCTGCCCCTGTTTGCCTGAGGACAGAGGCCTCAGGGATGGAGAGGAGGTGACAGAGGGAGGAGGGACTTCTACCCCAAGAAGAGAGAGTTGTTTGCCAGGGCTCCTTGGCTCCTTGGGGGAGGGGTAGGTGTCTGGCAGAGTTCTATCAGCTGCTCCCTGAGGCCTCCCGGAGGGGCCCAGAGCTGAGCTGGACACCAGGCCTGCCTTCGGGCGCCTCATGGCATCAGGGAAGGCAGAGCATGAGCTATAAGATGTTGCACATTCTATGTCCAGAGGGTGGGAGGGCACTGGGAAGGGAGGACGGATTGAGGAGGGCTTCCTGGAGAAAGTAAGAAGTTGACAAGAGACCACGAACCCATAGATGGCAAGGGAGCAGGGTCAGGTCTTGTCCCACTCCAGTAGTGAAGAGCATAGATCTGGAACCAGACAGAGCTGGGTGACCTTGGGCAAGTTACTGACCTTGGGCAAGTCACTGTGCTGTTTGGTCTCTCCATGAAGCTAGTAGCAACTGCACCAACCTCGCAGGGCCGTGGGACCCCAGCGCAGGGACTGGTAATCATCATGGCTTGTGTTCACCACAGAGATAGTCCCAGGAGGGAGCTGTGGATACCGAGAGGGACCAAAGCCTGGGTTGTCCTCCTCAAGGAGGACTCAGTGCCTGTTGCCACCTAGGTGTTCAGAATCTTCTGTTCCTACTGCAAATGTTGCCGTCTGCCTGCCCTCTCCCCGATCTGTCCCCAGGCCTGGGCAACACTTTTCCTCTTCTGGGCTTGAAAGCTCTGCAAAAGTCCCAGGAGAAGCCCTCTGTTTCTTCCCCTTGGCTCTTTGAGAGCAGTTGTAGCTGCCAGAGTTGACAGCAGGCCATATGGGCACACTGTTCAGATGAGTGGTGTCTTCACAGAGCGTCTCCAGGGACGTTTGTCCCTAACATCTACTGAGTGTTTAATACGTGTCAGACCAGCTTCTAAGTACCTTGACCACTTTACAAATTAGAAAACCAAGCACATGCCTGTAATCCCAGAGGCTCAGGAGGCTGAGACAGGAGGATCGAGAGTTCAAAGTCAGCCTCAGCAATTTATGGAGGCCCTAAGCAACTCAGCGAGACCCTGTCTCTAAATAAAATATAAAAAATGGGCTAGGGTGTGGTTCAATGGTTAAGTGTCCTTGGGTTTAATCCCTGGTCCCCAGAAAAACAAAAAAGAAAGAAAACCAAAGTACAGAAAGGTCCTGGAACTTGCATCAGGTCCTACCATGTGTGAGAGGCAGGGCTGGGGCCTGAAGCCTGGCGCAACCAAGCCCTAAGCATTTCTTTTGGACCCTGTCATTGTTAGACCTTGGCCACACTTGATGCAGTAGAGGGAAGGGCAGGCAGGACACAGAGAGGTGGTCACTTTTTCGGGTCACACATCTAGATCATTCTCTGAACTGAGAGTTGGGGGAGAAGGGTGAGAGGAAGGTCCCTAACTAGACCCCAGTAGGACCCCAGACATCCATGCGGCTCTTCCTTGCAGGTGGCTGACCAGATGACACTGCTGCAGAACTGCTGGAGTGAGCTGCTGGTGTTCGACCACATCTACCGCCAGGTCCAATACGGCAAGGAGGGCAGCATCCTGCTGGTCACTGGCCAGGAGGTGACGGACCCTGCTTTCAGAATTCTGAGCTCTGGACACCCTGAATTCCATCCCTTTCCCTCGTTTTGGGGGACATCCCCTGGCCAGGCCTCTCTGTGGCCAGCCCTGTCCCTGGCCTTGTAAGGAGTCAGCCTCTGGGAGCCCTGCTCTGGGGGACAAGATTAGAGGATGTGGGAGGATCAGAGGAGGCCTTTGGAGGAAGGGACAGTGGCACTGGGTCTCTCAAGAATAAATTTTTAAAAAATCAGAATTGATTGAATAGTGAGAGGCGATGGGGGGGTCTGTCTCCACTCCCACACAGGTGGGGGGACAGCAGGGCACAGGATCTGAGAGGGGGTCCAGAAGTGCTGTTGGGGGCCTTCAGGGTGGGAGGAGGTAAGAGGTGAGGCTAGAGGGGTTGCTGGGAGCCAGCCATAAGAGGGCGAGACCTCGCAGACTCCGGATCCCAAATAAAGGAATGAGGGATGGAGTGAATACGTGGGCCAGAGGCCACAGGGAGCCCAGAGTCGGGCTCTGGCCGCTTAGATCAGGGAGATGGGACAAGAGGGTGGAAAGTGGAGCTCGGAGGCTCCTGAAGACAGAGCTGGAACCTTGGGAGTGGGGACACGCTGACCCCAGGAGGCAGGGGAGGGGGAAAAGGGTGGAGGAGGTGGGGGCAGCCACCTGGCTCAGAGTGGGGGGGCCGAGGAGGAAGAGCCCAGGAGGAGCAGGGGAAAGAGAGGGCAGGAGGGAGAGGCGACAGGAGATTGATGCCCTGGGTCCAGCTGGGTGGTAGGAGGACTCCCCAGGTGGGGACACGGGCTAAGCAGTGGCCTAATGGGTAACACAGGTGGGACAGAGACTGAGGTCCTGCTCCTCACCCCCTCCCCTCAGGACCTCTGTCCTCATCTTCACTTGTCACCCTGGTGTCTCAGGCCACTGGGGGGTAGGGGACAGGGATGTCCGTCCTAAGGGGTAACTTTGGGGTCCCTGTGGGTGCAGGTGGAGGGAGTTTGAGATGTGAGTGTGAGTATGTGGGCCAAAGTCTCTGTGGTCACAGAGTGTCCTGCATGTGTGTGCACCCTCCTGTGTTTAATTGTGCAAATCCCATGCAGAAGCATGTGGGTGTCTGTTTCTGCCTCTTACCACATGAGTGTGCTCAAACACGCAGCTGTGGGTTATTGTGAGTGCCCCTCCAAGTGCACGTGTGAGTGTGTGTGCAAGTGAGTGTTGCCTCCACTTCATGAAGCTGGTGGCCGCCCTGTGAAGGTGTCTGCGTGTGATTGTGAGCTGAGCTTGTGTGAGCAGGCGGGTGGACATGTGCACGCGTCCACAGCTTCAGGCAGAACTGCCCTTCCCTGTGACAGAAGCACGGAATCTGTTCGCACCACTGGGCCAAGCAGCGGCTCTTTGTATATGAAGGACCCTTTACTTCCCCTGTGGCACCCACTTCCTGGTGTCTGCCCTGCTGCCATCAAAGGCATGCAGGCCATGGGTGCCCCGACTCCAGGCCCAGCAGGTTGAGGAGAACTGGGAAGGGTGGGTCCTTGACATTGGTGGGCCTGGGAGGGCTCCTGGGTTCCCAGGAGGGCTGCTTGACCCAGGCCCCACAACCGCTGTCCTGGGCCCATCCCCTCTGAAGGGCCCCTGACCTTCCCTCTCGACTCCTCCCCCCAGGTGGAGCTGACCACAGTGGCTGCCCAGGCGGGCTCCCTGCTCCATGGCCTGGTGCTGCGGGCGCAAGAGCTGGTGCTACAGCTGCATGCACTGCAGCTGGACCGCCAGGAGTTTGTGTGCCTCAAGTTCCTCATCCTCCTCAGCCTCGGTGAGTGGCAGGGTGCTTTGGCCGTGGAGGGCGGTGGTGGGGGGTGAGTGGGCAGAGGAACTCCAGGGGCCCCCGCTGTAGCCACAGAGGCCACCATTGGGTCTTGGGGTCCTATACTCAGTATAGGGCACCTGGCCAGTGGTTGGCGCTGGGAATGGGCACTGCCCTGCTGGACCTGTCTCTCTGTGAAAGTGTCAAAGGTCAAGACAGTGTCCAATTCTTGCCCTTCATGGTACAAGGACCCTTTGTAGAATGTGGCGACTCCTGGATGACCGCCCTGGGTGTGTGTCCGTCCCCACCTGCAAACAAGCTGTGGGAGTTCCGGCTTCTACTCCCGGCTTCCATTCTGGGGCCTTAATTCCCTGGCCCACAGGGGCTCACATTCTACCTCTGAGCTCTCTGGGGCCCAGACCCCCCTCCCACTCATTCCTTCATTCTACAAGCATTTGCGAGCATTGGCCCTGCGCAAGGCCTAGGGTTAGGACATTGAGCCAAGAAGATCCCCAAGCCCCTGCTTAGCAGAACTGGCCTTCTCTAGGAAAGAGCCAAAAACCTTCGTATGATCAGTGAAATGTGAAGCCAGGCAGATCGCGATAAGCGCTCAGATGGTGAGGAAAGTGGGGAGCTGGTCTGTGGGGCAAGCCCAGCCCACCAGCTCGCCTCCGACCACAGCCCAGACTGGGCGGCTCCAGTCTCCAAGCTCCCTCTGGCCTCCCAGCTCCCAGAGCTCACCAGAGCCTTCCCTGCAGCCAGTGACATGCGCATGGAGGTGTTCCTTGCCTCAGGAGCCCCCGAGCGGGAGAACCCTGCAGCCCTGCAGTTAGGGCTGGGACAGGGAGATGGGAGCAAGGGCTATGCCTGCAAGAGGAACATTTGAGCAGGGACTTGGGGGATGCTTTGGGTAATGGATCTCATAGCAGAGGAGCTGCCATGGGATGAGGGCTGACTGGGGAAGTTGGCCGTAGAGCCACAGGGTGTCTATAACATACCTGAGGGAGGGGGAGTGGGAGGTGCTGGAGAGCAGAGGAGAAGAAGGGAGTCGATTAGGAGGTGGGAAGGCGTGGAGGGCAGTGGGCTGGGTCTCCTGACCATCCCTACAGGCTGGCGGCTGGTGGGTTTCTCTGAGAGGTTCCCTCTCAAGCAGCCAGCCAGGGCTCTGCAGGGTGGTTACAGGACAGTCATCGGGAAGGGCAGAAGCCTGAGCAGCCACAGCCACCTAGGAGCCGCATCGGGAAGTCCTTAGAGGAGCTTTAGGGGCCTAGCCAGGCTGGCTCCAGCTGGGGGGACACTCTGTCTTACCTCTGCCTCCAGGGGCGTCCTCCTCACCACCTTGTCATTGAGAGCTGCTTCAGGGCTCTGAAAACTGGCACAGATGTGCGTGGCTGGGGGTCCGTGTGATGTGGGCTGCGGACAGGCAGGAGTGCTGTGCGTGGGTGTGAGTTTGCACATGAAGACTGCACGCTCGGGTGTGTGGCTGGGTTTTCAGGTGTCGTGTGGCATGAGGAGCTGGTGTGAGATTGGGGAGTGAAGGGAGATTTGGAACATGAGGGACTCGGAAGGGTACGTCATGCTTGGCACATAGGATTGTAGCCCAGAATCTGTGACTGTCTGGTTGATAGTTCTTGACCCGACTGTCATCAAGGGGCCATGGAGAGAGTTCTGGGGGAAGGCTAGAAGAGGGGGCTCTTGCACCAGTCTCCTTGGGACTCCATCTTTCCTTGAGTGTCCCCTAAAGAGCCCCCAACCCTGCTTCCCACCAAAGCCCTGGGTGGCTGCCTGGCCCAGCACAGCTCTGGCCACCCCCTGTGGTAAATCCAGAACTCCTCCTTCCATGGGGCGTAGGGAAGAGAGCAAGGCAGAGCCCACCCCTCTGTTCTGGGGCCCAGGTAGGTGTGTGCCCAGAATTGGGAGTGCCGGGCACCTCCTCCATCCTGTGCTCCAGAGGCGGCTGAGGCCTGAGGGACTGGGCGAGACTGCAGGGCTCAGCAGGAGGCTGGAGGGGCCGGGGACCTGTGACCATGAGCATGCGTGTGTGTCCGTGAGCAGTGGTCAGGGGAGGGTGGTAGAGATGGACCAGCTGGGTTTCACTCAGGTCCCTCCAGTTTTATGCCCTTGATCAAGTCATTCTCTGCTCTGAGCCTCTATTTCCTCATCTGTGAAATGCCCACCACGACTACCCTGTCTTGCTGCAGGAAGTAATGAGAGAATTTCCCCAGGTGCTCGGCACTGGGCCTGCCCCTCAGAGGCATGGGCCGGTATTGTGTTTTATTTTTATTTTATGTTAATGGTACTGGGGGTTGAACCCAGGGGTGCTTTACAACTGAGCTTCGTCCCAAGTTCTTTTTATTTCTTATTTTGAGACAGGGTCTCACTAAATTGTTGCGGGTGGCCTCAAAACTTGTGCCTCAGCCTCCCGCAAGGCTGGGATGACAGGCGCGACCACTGTGCGACTCGGATTGCTTTTATAATCCTCCTTCTTAGTTAATGAGCAAATGAATGAAGCGGATGCCCAGGTCACAGGCTTCATCTTCATCTGAGTGTCTGGCTCAGGGCCTTACTCTCTTTGGGCACAGAGACGAGGACCAGGCTTAGGAGCGGGCTGTGAGGGGGAAGGAGGTGGCTCTGGGACCTGGACCTGCAGGAGAGCAGTGGGAGGAGACCACGGGGCCACGAGGCCTTTGGGGAGCAGGTTCCAGGTGGAGAAAGAACTGGAGCTGCCCTGTAAGATGGGGGTTGGGCTGACTCCATGGAGGGGGGACATCACTGAAGCCTTCTCAGGTGAGGCGTGTCTGAGACGGGGCCTTGCAGTAGGAGTAGGAGTGTGATGGGTGAAAGGAAGCAAGCAGGGCTGGAGGATCCCCCACCGAAGGAACAGCCCCCCGAGGGTTATGAGGAATCCTGAAGGGACCCTGTGGCCTAGGGGACTGGGCAGGGGCGAAGAGGCTGTGGCAGAGGACAGGGGCTGAGCCCTTGAGCATCAGGCCAGGTCCCTTGGGTTGGGTTGTACCTGGAACCAACAGGATCAAACTTGCATTTCACCAAGGCCCTTCAACAGCGGCAGGGGAAAGGATGGCAGGTGGGCAGCCCAGATCCCTGCAAGAGGTGAGATCTGGGGCTGGGGCGACTTGGATCCCCAAGTCAGAAACAGAGGGCTCCGACTATGATTCCATCCAGACCAGAGCTGGGCACAAGGGAGCCAGAGAGGGACTGTCACTTTTCTGGAGGCTCCCAGCTGGCATGCAGGGCGTCACCCTCCGCAGCACCTCCCTGGGCTGGGTAGCCTGAACTCTTGTGAGGCCTGTCCCCCCACCCACCCACCCCACCGCCGGTCCTCAGCGCCTCCTTCTCGCCTGCCTCTGCAGAAGGGTGCCATTTGGCGTCTAAATAGCTGTCTCGGGCGGGCTCAGAGGCAGGTAAGGAGGTTTAATTAAAATTAGTGCCTCTCTCCTGGCAATCGCAGTGTTTATGAAGATGGGCCCGGCGGGCATTGTTCTGCCGAGGACTTAATCGAAGCTTAATGGATTGACCTAACATTCGATTTCCTGATTTCCATTGAGGCGGCGGCAGCAGCATTCCCTTAAGCGTTTGCAATTTACCCACTGCTCCGAGCCAACAAAAGGCGGCCTGAATAGCAGCCCCACTCGAGGGGCCATTGTGCGCGGGGGCGCCTGCCTGAGTCACCGCTATTGGGACAACATTCTTTATGCCTCACTGGAATGAAAGGATTATTCAAATATTCAATTAAACCGTGAAAAGGGGGCTTTTCTGAGCTCCTGGGGGCCCCAGAGCTCGCAGAGCTAGCAGGCTGCTCTCTGAGGTGGGGGTGCCATCTCCCAGCCCCCTCCTGCCTCCCACCTCCCACCTCCAGGACTGCTGGGAGCTGAGCAGGACAGGGATAGGGACATAGGTCTGTCTCCAGCTTGGTCACTTCCACTCTGTCAGGCTCAGGGCCCTGGGCCAGACACACAGGAGAGGTCTGGTCTTGGAGCTCCATGGGGCAGAGATCAGTTTGCCCCCATTTTGCAGATGACAAGAAACTGAGGTTCAGAGAGGGGAAGTGACTTGTCCAAGGTCACCCAGCTGGCTGTAGGGCTAGGCTTTGAACCCCTGACACATTTAGGAGACATCTGCAGACTTGTTTGTCTCCTGCTTGTGTCTAAGGTTAGAAGGGTGAGAGCTCATCATGGGACATTGATTCTGTTAGGTACCTTGGAGTCTTCACCACAAACTTTTTAGAAACTGGGGACTCTGGGGAGCTGGAGAGGTGGCTGACTATCCAAGTCCTCGAGCCCAGAGCAGCCTCTTTGGGGGAAACCTGGGACCCCGGACAGCAGGGCTTGGATGGAGTCCTAGTTGGATGGAACATGAGGTATGTCCAGTTCCCCAGGACCCAGTGTCCAGGCGGACCCAGCCCTCGCAGCAGGAGGCTCGAGAATCAGAGACCTGGGTTTTGATGCAGGCTCTGGTTTTGGGGGCCCTTCCCTGAGAATTACCCAGGTTGGCACAAGGTGTCAGGGCGCAAGGTGTTGGCTGGGTGCCCAGGACAGTGGATCCAGACTCTTGGACTGTAGCCATTAAGGACGGTGCCCCCTATCCCTTGTAGCTGACCTTATAGGGATACGAGGTCTCAGCCTCCTGAGAGCCAAGAGACCAGAGAACTGCTGCAAGGGGCTGTCCCTGAAACCTGTCCTTGTTCTGCACCCACCCCCTGCAGTCCGCCCCGGCTTGGTGTTGCCGAGAACAGTAAATCCCTGTAAAGCCCAGGCCCTGGTTCTCCCAGGCCCCTCCCACCCATCCCCACTGCAGCATGCTAGCCTGTCCTCCCAGCCCCAGCTCTTTCGTCTAGGCCCCTTTACTGCTTTCACTGCTGTGTGGCTTTGAGCTGGTCCCTATCCTTCTCTGAAATCCCAGCCTACTACTGTGAATTGGCAGAAGACTGTGTCAGACTTGCCCAGCTGTGGGGATGGTGGGAGTGAAGGCAGATGGGGACAGAACTGGGATTGAAAGAGGTTTAGGACAGGGATGAAACTAACGCACCTGCTTCCAGGAGGCCAGCTAAGCGGAGTGAATTCTCATGACCTTTGGATGGGCCTGGAGCAGCCAGGTTAGGGTGCAGGCTATTCTACACAGTTGGGCAGGTCATTCACTGCACAAGGGCACAGAGGCGGGGTAGGACTGGGGGTCTGAAATCTAGCTCCATCTCTATGGACAAGGGCCGACTTGTCCATAGAGATGGAGCTAGATTTGTGTCAATTAGAAAATTGACACAAAGGTGCCTTGTGGGCCAACAGTGGTCCTGGGAATGGAGGGAGAAAAGAACCCTGGCTTGCTTAGTGAGGGAAGGTGAGGGACAGGGTAGGGATGGAGGATGGTGGCCTGTCAGATCCTGCCATATGACCCAGGCCCAGCTCAGGTTTCCCTAAATCCAACTTTGGACAACATAGGCCTTGGCAAGCGCACTGGGGGCGGCCCAGGATCAGGGTTGCCAGGAGCGTCCAGCTCTCCTGGCGCGGCAGGTGTTAAAGGGATTAGAGGGCCCAGGGCTGCACATGCCACCTGGCTGGCCGCCCCCACAGCAGCAGGGCTGGGGTGATGGGTGGGGAAGTGGATGGAGGGTCATTTTCTGAGCCACTGGAAGCCACATCCCAGGGGAGGCCAGGCTAGGATTTGAGGACTGGGGACTGAGCCCGGGGATTCCTGGTGACCTTGAACCCCTGGACAGGGCAAATTCAGCTGGAAATGCTACCCAGGAGTGGAGGGGCCTGTGAGCCATGGCGAGGGACCTGGGCACAAGACACCTTCCCAGGCCTTCCCCACCCCTCTGCAAGGAGGGCACGGCTCCTACAGAGACGAGGAAGGCGTTTCAAGGGAGGGTCACTGCTCCAACATGGTGGCTCGGTTTGAACCCTCATCTGCCTCACTCCAGAGACATATGCCTGTGACTCAGGTGGAGGAATACACTAGTGAACCTCCCCACATGCTGTCCCTCTCGCTCCGCGGGAAACAGCCTTCACGTCTGGGGCAGATCATGTTGTTCGTCCCCGTTCTTGTGTATTGTGGAAGGAAACCAGGGCCTCGTGCGTGCTGGGCAGGTGCTCTACCGCTGCGCCACGTCCCCAGCACCATCTTTGACTGATGTAAACAGCCTCACCCTCTGGACCCCCTGGACCTTCCCCTCCATTCCTTGTTTTCCTCTCCATGCTCTTAAAGATCGGTCCCTGGGCTCTGGGTTCTGTGTGCCCCATACTACTCGCCTGTGAGGCTGGCATGCGGCATCCTGGCCACCTCCTGGCCACCATAAATACTGCTGTGGTGAACATCATGTCCCCAAGGCCCCGTAGGAGACCTTCCTTGGGCTGCTGAGCCTCTTTCGTGGTCACAGGGTAAACCCACAGCATGCCTGTGGTTCTCTGGAAGGGGCTTCCAGTTTTCATGCCTCACAGCTGTGAGATGGGTCCTTCCACTCACAGTGCTCCTCTCTGGTCACGGTGGCAGTGAGGTGACAGTGGTGAGTGGCAGTGTGGTGATGCTGATGGCAATGGGATGAAGGTGACATGATGATGTTAACCATGGGATGGTGCCAGTTATGGTAATGGTACCGACCCTGGCCATGATAAGGAGGTCACCCAGTGACCTTTGTGCTAGTGACTGTTCTCCTAGGCATTTCCCCCAAGTCAACTCCTCAAATTCTCAAAGTCTTGCAGGTTCCATTGTCACCCTCATTTTATAGATAGGAAATGGAGTGGTTTAAATAACACGCCCAGGGATGCCCGGGAGCGATCGGTGAAGGTCTTGGTGATGATCGACATCCATCCTGACCATCAGGGCAATGACAGAGGCAGCGATGTTGGTGACAGTGACTGTGGCTTGTTGATGGTGGCATCGGCCACACTGGTGACAAACACAGGGATGTAGTTGGGTGGTTGATGAGGATGGTGGTGTTGGTCAGCCACATTGATGCGCATGACTTGGTGGGTCACAGGGAAGGTGTGTTGGTGCCAGTGATGTGTTTGCGGGGACGGCCGGAGGGTGACTGCGCTCCTTCCTTTGCAGATGTGAAGTTCCTGAACAACCACAGCCTGGTGAAGGACGCTCAGGAGAAGGCCAACGCTGCCCTGCTCGACTACACCCTGTGCCACTACCCACACTGCGGGGACAAGTTCCAGCAGTTGCTGCTGTGCCTGGTGGAGGTGCGGGCCCTGAGCATGCAGGCCAAGGAATACCTGTACCATAAGCACCTGGGCAATGAGATGCCCCGCAACAACCTGCTCATCGAGATGCTGCAGGCCAAGCAGACTTGAGCCCGGGCCGGCCGGGGCAGGCGGGCCGGGAGGGCGCGGCTACCCGCCGCCTCCGCAGGGCTTATTCGATTAGGCCAACCCAGGAGCCCCATCCCATAGGCCCCTGACCCTAAGCTCTGGAGCTGTGTGTTTGGGGTGGTGGGTAAGGACGGGCAGGGCCTGGCTGAGGTGGGGTGGCCCTCACCAGCCACTGGCACTTGCCTGCCACTCAGAGTGCCCCAAGGAGGCGGCTGCTACCCACCCCGCCCTCCCCCTGCTCCCAGCTTCTGTCCTGGAGTCTGAAGTGCTGGCTGTCCAGGGAGGAGGTTCGGGATTCCCTGGTGGGCCTCGATGTCCCTCGGGTCAGAGGTCATTCTTTCCCCCTCTGCTAGAATCAGAGGCAGGGGGAAAGTCGAGCAGGCATCAACAGGGATGGCAGGTGGGGGGTCTCCAAAGCTCCCCCATAGAGGGGACGTAAGTCCTCTGATTTGTAAACTAGGGATAATGGAGTTTGCTAAGTTGGGTAGAGGCTGCAGGCCCTAGAGGACACTGGGAGACTGGTTAGGACAAAAGACCTCTCCCCTACCCCTCTACCCATCTGACTTCTGCAGGGGAGTCTCTGACCCATTACTGGAAAAGGATTTTGTTACAGTTAACCTTCTGACCCTCTTCTGCCCACCCAGGAAGAGTTGGGTACAGTCAACAGACCAGTCCTGCCCACACCTGGCCAGCCCAGGCTGGTACTAACCTGCAAGGGTGTAGTTAAGAGGGTTTTTCGGTTTTGTTTTTTCCTTCTCTACTTCTCAATCTCTTAGACATTGCTTGAAAGGTGTGTGTGCTGGAAGGCAGGGGACAGATGTGGGGACTGAGCTAGGTATGGGGATCAGCACCAAGTACCGCCCAGGCCTTCTCCCTAGACACTTTCCACCAAGACCCAGTGGTGCTGGGTTGTTCCTGAGCCCCACCACAATACAGAGAAGAGCTGTTGCTTGCCCTCCAGCCCACTAGGTGAGCAGGAGGCACTGTGTGGCTCGGGGTCTCTGTGGGTGGGAGTCTAGGTGAAGGTGGGAGGGCACCTGGGTCTTTGGATCAGGGTCAATGCCAGCGAGCCCCTTCCTTGTGGCCTTGGCCCACTGGGTTCCTCACTGCAACCCTTGAAGCTGGGCCTCAGCTGCCTGGACTCCTACCTTGCCTCCCAAAGGATATTCTCCAGGGCCAGGAGCTAGGGAGAGGCCTCAACTGTCCTCTGTCCCAGGCTAGACACCCACTGTCTGTCCTGCTTTCGTGTCGCCGTTTGAGCTTGCGCTGAGCCTGCCCAGTCAGACAAGGCTGGATGTCCCCCCCCCCCCCGCTGCCTTCTGCTGCCCTGTCTCAGTCCCCATTCTGCCCCTGAAACGTGTGCCCCTGCCAAGGCCAGAGACCCACAGCCCCAAAACAAGAAGTGCCCTTACGACCCCGCCCCTGCCCGGCAGCCTTGGAATAAATTTTGCCATTAGTTTCCAGCCACCTTGGCCAGTTGCCATCTGGAGCAGGGCCCCCTGGGTGGGTTAGGGTGGTCTGAGGTTGGTGGTTCTCTGATGGGGATAGAGGTGACATGCAGATGACATTTGGTTCAAAACTCTAGGGAGGCAGGAAGGATGGCAGGAATTGCGGTGAATGGATCTCATCTCATTCATGGGATTCCCAATGTACCCAGAAGGCCTGGAAGATTCTGTGGCCTTTTAGAGCCTTCGCCTCAGTTCTACCCTGCCATGCCAGCTCAGCCCCTATCTTGGGTAGAAGGGAGCAGTCATTTAATGAGCACCTACTGTGTGCTGTCCCTCATCTCACTGTCCTACAGGGTTTATACTTCAGGAAGGATAGGCACCTGCCAAGGGCCTTTTCACAGTCTGGGGATGCAGATCCCAACCTGGGTCCACTGGACTGCAGGCACTGGCCTCTTCCTCTCTGGGCTGTCATGAGGTCCCTTTCTCCCCATCTGTCACTTGGTGGCAGCAGTGAGCACAGCCGGCATCTGATGACACTTGCGGTGGCCCAGGCGCTGTGCCTGCCATTTTACCTACCCGTTCTGTTTTCCAATATGCTAATCAAAGCCACTTCCATAGGTGGCAGCCCAAGATTTCAGATGAGGAAACTAAGGCATGGGAGAGCAAAGTGGTTTTCCCTAGTCACAATGGGCACGCTGTCCTGACCCTCCTCCACCAACTTGGTTAGTTCATCTGCAGAGCCACGCTTAGCCTAGCTAGTGCCTCTGTGCAAATTAGAAAAGGGCACTACTTCTAGGGCAAGGTAATAAGGGCTTTTATGCCAAGATAAAGGGGTTCCTCTCCTTGGTGCCTGTAGAAGTGCAGCAGGCCCCCAGCTCCTGCCCCTGCAATGTGCAGTGTTGGAGGAGGAGACTGTCTTACTCAGATTGTAATCTGATGTGTTGATTTGGCTCATGTAACTGAGCCAGATGAGATGAGGAAGTGATTGAGTCTGTTCCTGGGGGGATGGGAGAAGGAACAGGAAGGCTTTATAGCTGTCATTTAAATTGGGTTTTGAAGGATGCCTAGGAGTTCACTGGCTCAATGGAAGTTGGGGGCAGTCCAGGGAGATGGAATAGCATGAGAGCAAAGGGATGAGGAGGTCAGCAGGTGTGTTTGGAGAGTGAAGAGGGTTTGTGTGAGGGGGAAGAGTACGAAACAGGACAGGGCTGGAAAGGACTCCTTGGTCCCCGCCTTTGCAGTGCCCGCCTAGCCTTTATGATTGGTTGAAGGGACACAGGAGCCTTCTGAAAGAGAGGGGAAGGAGTCAGGGGACACCGAAAACGCAGGCAGTCATGGGCCCCAGGTGCCCTGCCCAGTTCAATTCCACCTCCTTGTTGCCCTGCCAGCCCCCACAGCAGCTCTGATTCTGGCTTGGGGAGGGTGGTGTTGGCAGCCTCTGCCTGGCAAGTCCCAGCCCTGGGTCCTCCTTGGCCCTAAGCCTGGTGTTAAGCCCTAACATATCCACGGCTCCTCCACCTTTCTACCCAAGAAGAGGCCCAGACTTGAAGAAGAATCTTGCCCCTGGTGGCACAGTGGGTGGTGGCAGGGTCTGATTCCACAAAATGACTCCCACCAGACCCGAGGAAGCCCCAGCCTCCTCAGGATGGCTGTGGTTGCCAGAGAGCTCCTCTGAGCAGACTGCCACTCACACCACCTGCAGCTGCCCCCTGCACTACATGGCCAGGAGACCCCAGATCTGAATCATGGAGCATCCTCCTCTGCACAAGACAGGAGAGGCTGGTCTCAGGGCCGAGGTGAGGACCCCAGCTGTGGGTGATAAAAGGCTCCGCCCTGCCAGCGCAGGTGGTTATAAATGTTGACTGCATCCACCCTAGTGACAAGGCTGAGTGCCAAAACCAAAGTGGAAGCTGTTCTCACTCCCTCACTCATCCCAGGGCGCCTAGAATCTTCTCCTGCTCCCCAGACCAGGAGGACCCCCAGACAGGGACAGAAAACATCTCAACAGTATTGTTTATTACCAGACACTGCAGGGCATGTCGGAACCTGGCGACAGGTGGACAGGGACAAATCTCAGGAAGAGGAGACAGTGGGCCATGCTGGGGTTAGCGGGAGCCCCAGGAGGGGTCCACACTCAAGCGGGCTGCTGCTGGGAGTAGCTGATCCAGGGCTACTCTTCTGTCACTTGAGGCTGCCAGCTGTGCCTCTTATCCAGATTGGGGGTCCTGGGAGGGTGTCCCCAGGCCAGGTGAGCTGGGGAGGGGCTTGCAGGAAAGCCCCTGGACACTCTCTAGAAACCTGGAAGGAAAGCGGCCCAGTGACCCAAAACCGCTAAGATGGGGAGGAGTCTGGGAAGGAAGGCTGGGGGAAGACCTCGGGTGGGAATCCAGGCTTGGGCCACCCTGGGCAGCCTCCTAATGGCCTCTGAGCCTCGATTTCTCACCCTGAGAACACCTGCGATACCCCGGGCTCCATGGGCTTTCTGGAGGGGCGGGCGGCACCGCGAGGGACGCGCACAGCCTCCACTCCCCCGCACACTGTCTGAGTGGGCTGCTGGCTGGGATGAGGGATAGGAGCGGGAGCGTCGGGGGACCAGGCCAAGGTTGGGGTCCGGAGGGTGGGGCCGAGGTGGAAGCCGCTCCGTTGCTACGAGCGGCCTTAGCAACACACATATTCAGCAGAGACAAAGGCGCTGTCACTTGAGCGCAGAGGCGCGCAGCGGCTCTTGTTCCCGCAGATGCGCTGAGCCCGCGGGTGCGGATGGGGGCGGGGCCCGTGGGCCCGAGGCCCCGCCCCTCGGAGCGCCCTGCGCCAGCCCTGCTCTCACTCGACCCGCCTGCAGGGGGCGCTTCCGGCCCGTTTTGCAGCTGGGGAAGCTGAGCCTCCAAGGGACTGATCACAGCTGGAGAGTCACACAGACCTGGGTTCTCTCGTGCTGGGGCTCACACTCATATGACTATGGCAGGGCCTCAGTTCTCCCATCTGTATGGGTGGGCCTGCCCCCAGCTCTGCCTCTGACTCTAGCTAGGTGCTGCTCCTTTCTGTGCCTCAGTTTGCTCAACCGTGCAATGGGAGGAAAGCAGCATAGCCTCTTCCCAGGCCACTGGATTAAAATGAGAAGATGTCTGGGGTTTGGTATGGCACTGGGCCCCAGTAAGAGCTCCCCAAAAAAGGCTTCTCACCCCTTGCTGGAAATAGTGTGTGCCAGGTGTGGTAGCCCATGCCTGTAATCCCAGGAACCTGGGAGCCTGAGGCAGAAGGATCACAAATTCGAGGCCGGCCTTATCAATTTAGAGAGGCCCTAAACAACTTAGTGAGACTCTGCCTCAAAATAAAAAAGTGCTGAGGATGGGGTGATGTGGCTCAGTGGTTAAGTGCCCCTAGGTTCAATCCCCAGTATAAAAAAAAAAAAAGTTTTAGGCTGGCCAGTGTCTGCCTCAGTTTGTGAGACTGAAGACTTAGAGAGGCTGAGGGAGCTGTACAGACAGCTCCCCTGGGGCCAGCCTGAGCTCCCTGGACCTGGCCTGGGATGTCCCCAGTCTTGCCAGGCTGTCTGCAGGCATGGAGAAGCACTGTCCCTCACTGGGTTTGGAAGGGCCCTCAGAGCAGGAGGCTGGGCAGCAGGACTGGGGACCAGGGAGAGTGGACAGAGGGCAGGCTTCTTGTTCACTGCCCCTGCAGGGAGGACCAGGTCTGGGAAGGTTTCCTCCAACCTCACCCTTAAGTGACCCTCTCCCCAAGAGCTCTGCCTTGTCCCTGCACAGTCCAGTGTCCTAAAGGAAGACTCTCAGACACTATCAGGGAATAAAGTGAGGTCAGGGCCCCTTAAATTGTGGAAGGTGGGTGTGGTTGCTTCTCCAATTACTTCTATCCTGGTAAAGTGGGGTGAGGGGGTGTCCAGGCCCAAAGGGGGTAGGGGAACCCCCCAAGGTGGCCATACCTGAAACCTTGAATGCTGTTAGCTCCACAGCCTGAGGAGAGGGGAACAGGGTGGCCTGGGTTCCTCCTCCCTTCCCCTGGGAAACCCCACCCCCACCCTCAGAAACCTTGGTGACTCCTCCTCCCTCAACCCCAGTGGCCTTGACCTTCAGTTGTGCCACCCACAGGCTGCAGCTCTCTGCTGCTCCAGGGCCTTTCAGCCCAGCAACTGAGGGACACGACCCCAGGAGAAGCCCCCACCCCACCGGACCCTACTCCCTGTGGCTTCCCCAACCCTGTCGGCCACACTTGCTGGTCCCCTGGGGCCAGGCCTGTCCCAGCCTCACCGGTCTCTCAGGTTCTGCAATAGAAGAGAAGGCTGTGGGGATTCTGGGGCCGTGGATCCCTAGTAGGGGAAGAACATGGGATCAGTGCGCTTTCTGAGACGGGAGCAGAAAGCCCTCTCCCTGCTCCCCACGCTGGGTGGGGTCCTCGTTATCTAACAGTCTAGGAATCCACTTTACCCAGGTTAGTGATGAGGACACTGAAGCCCAAGGGGATGCAGGGGGTTCGCTGGGGGTTGGGACTGGAATGTAGACAGGACGTGAGGTCATTTAACCCATGCCCTGCCTCAGGGCCCCAAGCCCATCCACACACCTGTCTGCAGGAATCTCCCAACACCCCCTGCATGGACACTCAGGTCACCCCAGCTAGTCCCACCCCTCCTCTGGCTGGGCCCCAGGAGTCATGTGTTGGTGCTGGGGATGGGGCCCTAGGTTAGCTAGGTAGCTAGCTCCACAGCTGAGCTACACCCCAGCCCTTGACAAGCCAGTTTAAAGCCATTTCCTGCCCACATTTGTTTGAGGACTCTCCAGGGCCTCCGTTTCCTGTCTTTCAAATGGGCTAATAGGATCTGCCATGGTCACTGTTCTGCCACAGCACGGGGACTACAAGGTGCTGAGATCTGACCTCTGAGAGCCACATGTCTTCTCGGTGGAGTCCGGGGCGCCTCCCAGGGACCTGGAGGCTGCTGGCTAGAGGGGCCCGAGCAGGTCCCACAGGAGATGGTGACAGTGG